GCAATCCCATCGCTCCCTTCCACCAATTCTCTCACCTCCCCTTGTTCCCCAAAGTCCACCACGTTCCTGCAATAAAACTAAACACTGCCCAGCATCAATTAGGAGCGGAGAGAAAAGGCTGTGCTTTGAGCCGACTGGCTCCTTTCCAAGGTAAACGCACTTATGTAAACCCGACTCCATTACTGCCTCAGCCTCAGTATGTACCAGGGGCACCCTGCTTTTCCGCATTAAGCTTTTGTTTAGCCACTGTCAAGTGGGTATTTCCCAGTCAGCCTCTCCTCCTGCGGTGACTGGCTGCAACCACCCCTACCCCCCACCCAGGCACCAAATGTGACATCAAAGGAGCTCCCGGAGTGGCCATCTGTCCCTGCCATGCCAATGTTTATGCAATGTGGGCAGGAGAGAGTGAAAGGCTACAGGGCGCCCTGCTGTATCAGACTCAAGGCTCCAGCGTCCAGCTCTCAGAACAAGGCAGTGGCCAGAAAGAAGACAAAACTACTTAACTTTCCTGAGTGCGTTCAAAGAACAGGCTTGATGTGTTTCACCTGTGGATGAGCATCTAAAAATAAAGTCGGATCTCTAATTGCATAGTTTGTCAAATATTAGACACCCAACCCAAAACAGTCCCACCTAAACATGCTATTTCAGGCAATACTGACTTTAACAAGTTCATCAACAGTGAAGTACTAAAGGGGAACTGGTTATGGTGGAACCTGCATAGATCAGAAACGAACGCCGGAGTGTCGGAATTCTAGAGTTAATATGACCATTAGAATGATCTAAACACCTCTGTTTATATCTAGAATGGAAGGTCAAGACACATGGGAATGTCATGAGTTTAGAAGTCAGATAAAACACAGTTCAAATCCAGGGTCACCACCATCATGGTGTGAGTTTAGGTAAGTCACGTGGGTTCTATGACCTGGACGTGGACAGGAGAACACGCACATCCCAGGGTGGTTGTGAGATTCAGTCAGGTACTCTGTTAGAGAGCACTGAGCACAATGCCAGGCACACAGTAGGTACTCTGCGTTTGCAGGCTCTTTTCCTTACATCTTCTCTTCCAACCTAGCCCTCGTTAGAGACCTTCACTGGGGACACACCCAGAAGACAAAGCCTGTTGAAGGCGGCCCAAGTGGAGAGGTCGCTGGACTGTTTGGCTGGCCATCAACTAAAGCTCAACACAGTAACTCTGCTAATGGACATCTCTGCTATCTTTCAAATGGGGGTGGGAGTGGGGGGCCTTGACATGGTCCACCGACCACTTGCATGAACGTCAAACCACGTCCCAAGGATTGGACAAGAATCCACATTATTCATCACATCAATCTGCTCCAATCCCCCAGGGGAGAAGATGGCTAGCCTCGGTGCTGGAAGCCAAGAGATGATACATCCACTCTGTGATTCAACCTGAACAGCTGCAGTGTGAAAACGCACACCCGGACTCACACAAAGATGGGCTGATGGTTTTAAAATTCACCCCTTGCTTATTGTTGTTTTTGTTGGTTTTTTTTCAGTTTTGCTCCTTAACCTCATTACTTCCCTTCATTCATAGAACCCAGAAACAACCACGGCCTTTCTTTGGGCAGCTCTAACCAGGGGGTGATTAATCCCCAAAGAATCAGATCGGTGAGCATTTATTCCGGGATTCAGGGCACACACTCGCAACTCCCAAGGGTTTACAATCAGGTCGGCAGGACGGACAATATAAAAGGCAACATCTGAGAAGGAAACACTCATTCTGAGGGGAAAAATGAGGGGCCAGGACAGGCTGGAAAGGCAGCAAGGTGAGGTAGGCTTTAGATGATTCTGAAGGAAAGCTCGTGGAAGGTCATTCTAGGGGGCGGCCGAGTGGACCAATGCCCAGAGGCAGGACTCAGAAAGGCTGACTGGGAGACGGTGCCGTGGGCAGCGGGATTGGACAGCCACTCACTAAGCGAGCATTTAAGAAACACCCCATGGCAGTCATTACAGTCCATGCTGAGGCACACACACAGTAAGCATGGGTAACCCGCCGTGGAGAAACACGGGAGCATCTGGGTTAAGAGCAGGGCGCTCGGAGCCGCGCGACCCAGGTTCGAATCCTAGCTCCCCCACTTTGTAATGCTGTTGCCTTGAACAAGTTACATTTAAGCCAGAGATGAATATTCATACTTAAGTTATTTATTAGGAAGTGCTTCCAAAGAACACCAGGTGGGGAGTTGGAGAACAAAGCCACCGGGGCTCCCTGAAGACAGGACAGGAGAACTGAGTTGTCCTCAACACAGGGGCCCTCCCAATGGTTCACCTGGACGAGGACTGCCCCCTGAGTACAAGGATTCTACGTCAAAGATGAGGACCAGCCCTGGGGGGCTGCCCTCCAACAAAGAGAAGGGGCTGCTGGGAGCCTGGGAGTAAAGGCAGATGGGGGATGGGGGAGCTAATTAATACAGGCCAAAGGGAGAGTTGATCCTAAGGGATGGGGGCAGAGCAGGGACAGCCCGTGCTACAAAGGGTTAATTGTGGCTTTTCCTGTTAACTGCATTATCATCATTTATAGTCTTTGTACTGCTTAAAAAGGCAAATAACAGAAGTACCACAGTACAGTGTGATGTAAATACTGAAAGAGAGGTCTCCTGGCTGCTGTGTACACTACACGCAGAAAAAGGCGGGGCTGAGCCTGTCCTCCTGGATTCAGGCCACCAGGAGCAACAGGAAAGACGAGAGGAACAAGTCGCAGCAGGGACAGCCAGGCAGGGCTGGAACCCTGGGTGGGAAACAGAGCGGCGGCATCGGGCAGCCGCTACGGAAAACAGTATGGAGGTTCCTCAAAACATTAAAAATAGAACTTCCAGATGATCCAGCAATCCCGCTTCTGAGTCTTTTTCATCCAAAAGAAATGAAACTGTATCTCAAAGAGGTATCAGCACTCCCACATTCACCGCAGCCCTACTCATGGGAGCCAAAATGTGGAAGCCATCGAGCTGTCTAATGACAGATGAATGAAAAAGGACCACATTTTTACAAATATATAGATGGGAATATCATTCAGCCTTAGAAAAGAAGGAAATTCTACAATATGCCACATCGTGGATGCATCTTGAGAACATGCTGTTATGTGAAATAAGGCAGTCACAGAAAGGCAAATGTTGCATGATTCCATTTATAAGAAAAGAAGTATCTAAAATAGTCGAATTCATGGAAGCAAAGACTAGAAGGATGGTTGCCAGGGGCCGGAGGAAGGGGGGAGTGGGGAGTTTGCTAATCAAACAATGGGTATAAAATTTCCGTTATGCCCGATGAGCAAGTTCTAGAGATCTGCTGTAAAATAGTGTCCCCATAGTTAAGAATACTGTATTGTGTATTGAAAACTCTGTTAAAAGGGGAGATCTCATATTAAGTGTTCTTACTACAGTAAAATTTTTAAAAAATAAAACAAAATTGCTGGGATTACACCTCAGGGAACATCTGTGATTCTGCCTGTCCATCAAGTCAGTAGTCACACGTTTTCTGCAAATTCTGAACCAAACAGCATATCACCAACCCCGATCAATATTGAATAGTGCAGTATCATTTTACCTAACAAGGCTTATGTGGGTTTGTTCAGAGGAGGAGGGCAAACTTGAAAAGGACTTTGTATAGTCATAAAGCCCCTTTTGGTCTAAATCATTCCCCCCTGTGAGGTAAACGGGGACTGCACGGCACACATGTCACTGTCCCCACTGGGCAGAAGGGAAACTGAGGTGCACACAGCCCTTTCTGCTGGACTTGCCTAGCAGAGCCTCGCGCCACACACAGGAGGTAGGAAAGTGTCTTAGCAGCGTATTCCCTCCGTCGGAGTGCCTGTCAATGTTACATGTTTACCACTTGATCCTTTCAGTGGGAAGCTTCTGGCCTATCATGCAATGAAGTCATCCCACGAGAGGACAGCAGTGAAGTCCGCGAGAAATATTCCACTCTAACTTGGCAGTTTAGATGAAGGCTCACCTCTCTCTCAAAGGTAACATGATCTCATGTCCACAGCCCCAGGAAAAGCCCTTTCTGATACCAAGTTCCCCCTGCAGCAGCCCCAATCAATTCCTTCTTCCCCTTTCCTGGTACTGTGAGGGCAGGCGAGAGAGAAGCTGAGAAGGAAACACTGTAAGCGAGTGATGGTTCACAGGGCTGACTGAGCTCACCTATCAGGTGTCCCCAACACGGGGTCCACCGCCACACTCTCTTCATCACGTTCCAAAGGCTGGCTTGTCCTTGGGAGCAACCCAACAAGAATGAGGCCCTACACATCAGGAGCTTCCCAGGAAATCAATTTCAAAGCCTCCAATTGTGAGTGGGGACAATCAGCAACCCCTCTTCCCACTAAAATGATAGTCACAAATAAAGAACTTTCTATTGTCCTGGAACAGGAGGATTTGGGCAGGATCCTTAGGCCATAAGGACTTCAAAAGCCTGAATTCTCATGTCCCAGCCTTCTGCAAATGCCCCACTTACCTGTCCCAAACAGAAGAGGCTTCTCAAGATCTCCACGCGTGCCATGCGCAGGGGCTGCTCACCTCCTAGATGACAGGCTAGGATTCAGAGTGTCACACCCCATGGTCCCAACCCTCCTCCTCCTCCTCCTCCTCCTCCTTCTCCTGGTTTTCGGATCTAGAAAGGTGGCCTCAGTCCACAGTGGTTATACCTACAAGAGCAGACATAGGAAAATAATGGGTTTGGGGGCTCATTTTTGACATACCTTTAGAGGTTCCAAGACCATCCTCTGAAACATTAACAAGATAACACAGGGAAAGTACTTGACATGTTGTAGACACTCGATAAATTGGAATTTAGTATTAGTATTTTAATCATCAAAGAAGCATTTACCAGGCCCTTATTTGGCATGGCTTTGTAGAAAGCACCTAGGCCATGTTTATGCTCGCCCACCAAAAATCTCATCATTTGTGGAAGTCAGAATTCTCTAACTGTGGAGCGTACGATTCCAAGGGATGGCGTGAGGCGCCCTGATTCAGCACAAGATCTCACACATCGACCCCTCATCCTGAAACGAACACAACTTTCCAAAAGTGATGATCTCTCCCCCAAAAGCTGTGCCAGTGAATGCCATGCTGACACTTGTTTTCAAGCAACAGAATCCAAATAAACTGGAGAAGCAGTGTTGCAAAACACTTATGAAAACTATACGCCTTCTTGTTCTCCGCTGTCAAAAAAACACCCGCGAGAACAAACAGCACCAGAGCTGGTACTCAGCACCCTGGGTCACGGCAGATGGGCCAGACGAAGGCCAGCTAGTCAACCTGACCTGATGTCTTCAGAAACAATGCCACAGCTGAGGCCCACCTACTACCCGAGATGTAAACCAAGACGCTCGTCGGGCAGAGCAGCAATGATGCTGGCAACAGCACCATGAAGCCTTTCTCCAGCTCACAATCCCTTCCTATGCCTAGTTCAGCCCTTTGCATCACTAGGTATCTACATAAATATTACTAATTATGCCAACTATTCCCCAGGACCTTTTCAATTAACAAACCCCAGGGAGAACAAATGGCTTACGGTCCGGTGACTTCAATAATGCTATACAGTAGATCTCTGATAGCGTTCAACATTTTATTATAACATTGATGAGATGGCATGGGAGCCTAAGTGTTGTTCCTGTCAATTAGCCTATGGTAAAACTGGTTTTGTTATACAACATCTCCTTAAAGTCACGGCCTCTATCCAGCACATCAAGTGAGGACTTACTGTATTCCTTTGTGGAGGGATATTAACCAGCCAACCTCCTCCGCCCTGTGCTTTTCATTCCCCTTCTTGGTGATGAGGTCAGCCATAGCGTTAACCAACCCACACTTCCCCCCCGCAAAGTCTGAGGGACTCTAAGCGCTGAAAAAACATTCTCAGAAAACACAACAGCAGTACAACATTGATATGGTAATCAGCCCCATCTATCTCCCATTTAATTCTGAAGTAACTAAATGTAAGCAACTTTGCCTTCATAGAAGCAACCCCACTAACTCACATTCATTCCAGCCTCTGCCGAGCTCTGAGCTTTGTACCCATTTCATTTCTACCCTACAGATAGCAAAAGGGAAGGGAGGGAGGGAAGAACAGCAGTGAGACCCTCAGGGAGGTGAGATGAAGTGAAGAAAAATAATCCCAGGAAAGTAAGATAAAAATTGGAGGGGAAAATATACAGCCAATCACCTAGGTAAGATAAGCTGAAAATACTGAAAATAGGGGAAGTGAACCTGATTAACCACATCTGCCCATAACAAAGAGAGAACAAATGGGAGAAGTGGTTTTCTTTGTTTTTTTTTAATTTCATCGCAATAACGTTTCACATTTCTGGAAGAAAATCACTAAGAGAAGTTGTGAGGTTGGAAGTATAAGAAAGGGTAGGATAAGAAAACACTCAACGTACTACAATTTATTAAGTGCCTACTTTGTGCCAAAATATGAATAGGTGACTTACATGAATATTCATAGAAATCTCACAACAGCCCCCAACCCCAAAGGAGTTTCTATTATTTCTATCTCACAGAAGGAGAAATGAAAGCTCAGAGAGGTTAGGCAATTTTCCTGAGGCCACACAGCTAAAAGTGGCAGAGCAAGAGTTCAAACCCAGCTCTTTCTGACTCCAAAGTTCTTGTTCTTATACTGCCACATACTCAAAGGTTTTCTGAGAAAACTTTGAAAATGCTAAGACTCATGCATTAAATATGAACTGAAATAAAATGTTCTTCCTCAGTTGTTACAGCAAATTTGCTCTGCTCTGGTACAAAGTACATCTGTATTGTCAAGTGGGTTGAAAGCACCTATAATTCACATTAAATTACCAGCGAGTCTCACGCAAATTCTAGTTAGTAGTTTCCAGAACAATATCACAGGGGTGCCCCAGTGAATATATATACAAAACCCACCTTAGGACCATTTGATTCAATCAATATGATACACAAGAACACAAGATAGGTTTTAATAAAACTGAAAAACATTATGTCAAAGACACAAAAAGATACATACATGCTGCCTTGCTCCTTACAGCTAGGAGAATCAGTTACTTAGTTTTAAAGGCCCTTAAAATCTTTTTTGACAGAGTTCCACAGGGCAGAACTTGTTAAATGCACGTAAACTTAAGAGAGGAGGTAGTGTCTGTTTATGCTTCATTTAAAATACAAACAAAACCCCAAGTTGGTTCTTTCAAAAGACCAATAAAATTGACAATACATTAGCAAGACTGGTCAAGAAAAGGCACAAATGACCAATGCCAGGAATGAAAAAGGAAACATTTTTACAGATGCTATAATATTATTAAAGGATACTATGTGCAACTTTATGCCAATCAATTTAAAAATGTACATGAGATGGGGAAATTCCTTGCTTTAGTTACTAAAAGATCATTTTAATGGCCCTATTTCTATTAAACAAATTAAATCTGCACTCAAAAAAAGTACAAACAGCCAGAGTCGACCAGGGTATTTATGGGAGAGGTGAGGGGACCATAAGGAGAAAACAATGATACACAGAAATTGTAACACCTGCAAGGTCATAAAGTATTATTAACCCCATTTCAAATGTCAGCATGACAAGGTCCTCTAACAGTCCCATGTGACAATGTCTAGGAACCTTTATGAATAACACATTCCCCTTTCTCTAGCTAAGGATGATTGGTTCCACACACTCCATGAACATATTAGTCAATTTCACCAGCACTATCATGAGACCCAGTTTGGTTACCTTTCCTGCTGAGCGAACTGCTACAGGCTCCTTAGGGTGGGGGGGGGGGGGGTGTTCAGTATCAAATTCACATTCTCTCAAGCGGACAAGGAGGCTAGAACCTGCTCTGGCAGTTCTGACAGCCGGGACCAAGCAACCCATGCTTTCGGTTTACAAGTCATTTCATTTTACTTCTGTATCATTTTACTTTTGTTACTTCAGGGAAGCTAGGAAAACAAACTAAGTAAAACTGTGACCATAGCAACCTGTTCTGTCCCTTGAACCCCAAAGCTCAAGGGAAAGGTGAGCCTAGGAAGCCAGGGGGTTCAATTCTGGTCTTAGGAGACCCACAGAATCTGCCAACATCCTCCTGATCGCACCCCATCCCAGAAGGGAGAGAAACACTGCTAAAATGAAATTTGGTTTTCTGTAAATATAATAAGAGCCACATATTTCTTTACCTCTGTTTCTTGCCCTAAGAGGAAGACAATTCTCTCAAGAATCTTATTAAGGATAAGCTCACAACACACATACACACACACACACACACACACAC